GAAACAGAGTGGTGCACTATTAATGTGGCATCAACAACTTCACGAATTTCATATTGATAATTTACTTATGAACCTACGATAAATCTTCACATCATTTCGTTCGGGGATCTTCGATTAATACTAGACCTACAGTAGTAAAATTAACAAATGCCAGTTGACATGTGTCAAAGTTTTGAAATAAATTCATATCCACAATTCCATTTGGCAGACAGAATCTTGTAATGCATTATCAGCACTCTCACTAAATGAATGCGAACATCACAACAAAAATCCACGATTAATGTTGGCGATTATTATCATCACCTATTTTGGTGTGAAGAAGATTAAACAATTGGATACTGGGAAATAAATCCTGTTAAAGCTCTTAGAAGAACACTCACGTTGTCTTATGTGAGACTAACTTTTTTAATTTTAACATAACTCCACATAATGTGAGCATGTAACATCTATGAAAATATATTTTATTTGTTACAATAGGTGTCAGTTTAATCATTCTCTTAAAGGAAATGTCAATCTCAGTCCGATTTCTACCAAAAGAGCAAACTGCCACATTTTGGGATGGTCACAGCAGGCCAATGCACCAAAATCAGAGTACAGTAAGTCAAGCATATCGCACTATTACACTCACCACGGAGCTCATACTACTACCCAAAATCTGAATTTTAGATAAAGACGTGGTAACAAATCTACCTTCAGCGACAGCCAGAAGGGAGAAGACTGTCTTTGAATGCCAAAAAGACTCTAAAATACTTCTGCCATCTAAATGTACCTCTGAGGGTAAATGAGAGCAATCTGTACTAACTTCGTGATGAATTCGACGTCTGAATTCCCACAGGTGGGGAAGAGCTCCGCATCCAGGCCTCTATAAACTTGCGCTAATTTTTGTCAGCTCTCAAAAGAACCCAACCATTTATTCTATGCGTGTAAAACCTATAAGGGCCAAAGCGAACTAGGAACATATTTATATTTAATATCACTTATAGCATATAACTAGGACCCCACCAAAAGTTTTTACATAAGTGAAAAAAAAAGTCATTTTCTGTGTTTGTATTCGTTGCATATGTTATTCATTGGCATATCGACATGTAAATGCATCTCTTTGTAAAAGATGCCTTTTTATTATAAATTACAAGCAAATACACGTTTTCAGTTATTTCTTGCAAAGATTAGTCTACAATTTTAAAAACATTTTGATATCGTAATGCACTTGGCACAGGTGCACTCATCTTCTACACGTTGCACCAATCCCAACGGTCCCTTCAAGGTCGCTCGATGGCCTCTCATCGCAAAGCACTACGCATGTGTGGTATTGCATTTATTCTCACGCCTCATACGTTAACTGTAAAAAAAACCTTTTGTGCTCTAAATCAAAGTTATTCGGCAAACGATGGAGAGACTGAGGTATTTAGAGGAGAGAGAAGGCTCATCTCTCAGCTGCAAATTTTACGTTTTGTGTAAATAGGGCAAACTCATCGATCTACGAATCAATGTGAGTTAATTGACATAGAATTTAGGGTTCGACTTTTAGACAAGGGAACGGAATGGGATAGGATGGTAGAAAATCCTGTAGATGAGAGCGGATGGCAATGGATTAAGCTCAACCCGGTATTACAAGGACACATCAGCACGTTTTAAGGAGTATTTTCATCGATTGTCCACTGTGATGTGATATTACTAGCACGATTCGGTAAGTGTGTTCACTGAACTGAAGCTGGGCATTAAGAAGTCAAGCTATCAATTTGTAGCACAACCAGATCTGCATCGAACATAAACTTTGGATTAGCGCCAGAGGCGCATGCCTATCAACTGCTTATTTAATTTCAATGGCTCTAATGTCCCAGGGAAACAGATTCGATCGGGTGAAGCAATAAGTGGAACACTACGAAGTCATTTTGTTTCCTTGTTTAATCGTAATCCAAAAATACCGCTGCATCATAAGCTCTTCGAATACAATTACTGTTTTAGAGTAAAGGCGAATTAAAGCTCATTCTAACATCATTTTTACAATTCATATGTTGAAATCATAGATTACCTTACGGGTGCACAAACATGAAAAATTGCATTTTTTGCAGTAATGTTGCAGTCTTCACACCAATCCTGGTGCCAATTGTTTGGCCATTTGTCAGGTGCTGCGTCCAGATATGTTTCCACCATATGATGTTTTTCATGGTTCCTCCTTTAAAGGCTTTAGTGATTGCAGGAATTCTCCATACATTGTGCATTAAGACCATGTGATTCATCTTACATTTCTTTAGAAATAAGTGTCAACTCAGAAAAGCTTTATGTCAAAGTGTTTTGCAGTTGCTTTATAGTTGACATTTGATATCATGCCAACATAAACACCTAATGAATATAAAGTAAAGCACATTCTCTTTTGCAACACCCTGAGTAATAAACCAAAAACACCATGTGAGTATTTAAAAAATTTGCAATAAATCAGCCCGCAGAAAAAATAAGTGTTTTGTATCTTATGATTGCAAGCATCTTAGCTTTCTTCTAGCTCTTGACTTGTCAACAAAAGTCCCGTTTAATGGGTAAAAATTCAGATGCAATACCCTCCGGAATTGCCCGACGCCACAAAAATAAATGTATAAATTTAAGTTGGTACACTGAACACGAACTCCTCTAAAGTGTTTAAACAAAAGACTCACTTAGTAATCTCAACCTGATATTGAATGTGACCGGCGATATGTCACGCCAGCCCAACTTATGAAAATCATTGATAGGAGTCCACTGACCTGTCGTCTGTTCGACCGATGTCAGAGGAAGACTTCTGACATTTGATTATAAATTTCCCTTAGCAACCACCACGCATCCGTTGAAGTAGGCGATTCCTGTGCTGATGTGTCCCCATAACATCGGGTTGAGCTTAGTCCATCGCCATCCGCTCTCATCCTCAGGATCTTCTACCATTTCATCCCATTCCCATCTCCTGCCAAGAAGTCGAAGCAATGGGCGATGAGCTTTTACTCTAATCGTGATTAAGAGCACGAAGAAGTGATTTATACGGATAAGGCATATGAGAAAGAATGGAAGACCACACATGCATCGTGCGTTGTGAGGCCATAGAGCGACCTTTAGGACACCGTTTGGATTGGTACAATGCGTAGAAGATGACTTCACCTGTGCCACGTGTTTTCTAACATTCACTGTCAGGTTTTCAGCCAAGTGTCGACGACTACTATCCAGGTGTTTTACAGTCCTGATTTGCTTTTTTAATTGAGTCAATCCTTGCTGAAGAGAACTAAAATTGCTGCTCCCCTCCCCCGGGACAACTCAGAAAAGCTTTATGTCAAAGTGTTTTGCAGTTGCTTTATAGTTGACATTTGATATCATGCCAACATAAACACCTAATGAATATAAAGTAAAGCACATTCTCTTTTGCAACACCCTGAGTAATAAACCAAAAACACCATGTGAGTATTTAAAAAATTTGCAATAAATCAGCCCGCAGAAAAAATAAGTGTTTTGTATCTTATGATTGCAAGCATCTTAGCTTTCTTCTAGCTCTTGACTTGTCAACAAAAGTCCCGTTTAATGGGTAAAAATTCAGATGCAATACCCTCCGGAATTGCCCGACGCCACAAAAATAAATGTATAAATTTAAGTTGGTACACTGAACACGAACTCCTCTAAAGTGTTTAAACAAAAGACTCACTTAGTAATCTCAACCTGATATTGAATGTGACCGGCGATATGTCACGCCAGCCCAACTTATGAAAATCATTGATAGGAGTCCACTGACCTGTCGTCTGTTCGACCGATGTCAGAGGAAGACTTCTGACATTTGATTATAAATTTCCCTTAGCAACCACCACGCATCCGTTGAAGTAGGCGATTCCTGTGCTGATGTGTCCCCATAACATCGGGTTGAGCTTAGTCCATCGCCATCCGCTCTCATCCTCAGGATCTTCTACCATTTCATCCCATTCCCATCTCCTGCCAAGAAGTCGAAGCAATGGGCGATGAGCTTTTACTCTAATCGTGATTAAGAGCACGAAGAAGTGATTTATACGGATAAGGCATATGAGAAAGAATGGAAGACCACACATGCATCGTGCGTTGTGAGGCCATAGAGCGACCTTTAGGACACCGTTTGGATTGGTACAATGCGTAGAAGATGACTTCACCTGTGCCACGTGTTTTCTAACATTCACTGTCAGGTTTTCAGCCAAGTGTCGACGACTACTATCCAGGTGTTTTACAGTCCTGATTTGCTTTTTTAATTGAGTCAATCCTTGCTGAAGAGAACTAAAATTGCTGCTCCCCTCCCCCGGGA